AGTGTCTCTTTCCCCAAGTAGCGCCGCCTTGCATTGCTCGAATGTTTCCATCTTGCTTGACTTATTGGAAGGAGCCACAAGTGAACACCCTGCCAAAAAAGATCAAGTTCAACGGGGGTTTTGATGCTGAAATCCCTGAAAAGTGACAAGCGTTTCTTTTTCCTTGTCTTGTTTATAGTGGCAGCTTCTGTTGCTCACACCTGGTGGCCCTGGTGCTTATGCTTGGGGTCACAATGGGGTTGTGAGGAGGGAGGAGGATGGAAGAAAAGGGGAACATTGGACAGTGGATCGTGATGCAAAGGAAAGGTATTTTCTTTTGGTAAAAAGTGAAATGGGAGCACTTATAAACCCTGATCAGCCCAGAGTTGGAAAGAATAATGTTATGATCATGAAAGTGTTATGGATATGGTTCTTTCCCCCAGATTTGGCCTGCTCAGGGATTCTATGTCCTGGAATTTCATGCATCATCTATTAATGCCATAATGTTGTTAATAATTATAAATTAAAGAGCAGCCAACTTAGTAGGTTCTTATTTGCAGACATCGTGCCAAACACTTTATTATCCATTATTTCATTTAATTATCTCAAGAACCCTATGGGTAATTACTATTGCCTTTTGAAAGTGAGGGAAACAGAAGCTGAGAAGTGAAATAACTCATCTGAACTCCACTGAGAGGCAGAGCAGGGAGGCCAATGGTGGGGGCTCTGGACTCAGAGCCTGGATTTACCCTATTCTTAGGTACTCCTATTCTTAGGGTGCCAGGTACTCCTGCCTGGGACAGATAAGCAGGGAGGTTGAATGCTTTTGTTGTAATGATGATGAGAATGGTGATGGAGAGGTGATAAAGGGCAGAGGCCCTGGAGCCAGCCTCCTGAGTCCAAATCACCACAGCACTGCTTAGCAGCTGGATGACCTTGGGCAGGTGCCTCAGTTTCCTCATCCGTGCAATGGGATAGCAGCTGTACTTGCTCAGGGGTTGTTGTGAGGATTAAATAGCTAATCCACGTGAAGGGCCTAAAGGGTACATCAGTAGGTGTTGGTGGTGATTATTGTCATCCTCTGTGTGTTCTCCCAGGTCCACACTTTGCTATCCAGGAGGCCCTATGGGTTAGTGTGGTGAAGCTGGCACATGATGAATGTCCAATAGATATTCACTGAACGAAGGAATGCAATTTACCAGGTGCCCTAGAGGCCTCTGGCAATAATTAATCTTCTCTTAAAAGGATCTTCCACACAACTTCCTGCCTGAGACTGACCTGCAGGTGGGAGCCTGCCTCTCATCCACAGTGGCCAGTGTGCCTTTCCTGGGTCTGCTTGGCAGGAGGGTCACAGTCCTGGTGGATCCCGGTGGCTGCTGGAGGCACAGGTTTCTTGAGAGGCAGGTGATGGCAGACCCCAGCCCTCCAGCCTGTGAGGAGGGGGATGGTAGGAAAGCTATGGTTCTCTGAATAAGGGGGCTGTTCCGCATCAATGTGCAAGTCATGGAGCTGGAGCCCTCCCCCCAGCCTCATGGGAAGGGGCTTGCAGAGAGCCCAGCCAGCCAGCGCAGGAGGCTGCAGGGCCTGTCAAGGTTAACAGATAGTCCTTGGCTCTCCCCTAGGAAGTAATTCAACTTCTCCCCTGACTTAGGCCACATTGTTTCAAAGCATGTGGTATAAACTACTGACCACTGGGGAATTGCTTGAATTAACAAACTCATTTTTCTCGAGACCTGAGGTTGAACTTGACTGGGGAGTTCAGGGCTCTTTTGTAGAAATCCAGTAGATCAGGAGAACTCATGTTACACCATGTTTTCAACCTTGATCAAATGCACATTTTGCATGATATGGCCTTCTCCACGCCTGCACTCTTCCAGCTGCACCAGATTGCTTGGAACTGTGGTAAACAGGCCAGTAGCTGGCACTGGAGCCTGAGAGAGCCAAACTCCTGCCTCGGTTGGATGGAGCTTCAGAATGACTCCTCCCTCTTCTTCTCTCACTCCTGCCTCTCCCATACCTACCTTCAGAATGCCTTATACTATGAAAGAAGGGATATGAAGGGTTAGCTTGAATCATGCGGGCTCCCCCTCCCCCCACCCCCTCCACTCACTCTCCTGCATGTCTTGCTTCTGCCTATGAATACCTTCTGAGCCTGCCTCCACTCCACTGGTGCACCCTACACAGGGCCCACTAGAGATGCAAAAGAGCAACAGCAAGCCAGTCCCTCTCCCACCTCTAGCCCCACCCACACAGCCCACCGCCAGGCCTAAGCCTAGAGCAGAGCTCAGTGGAAGCCCAGGGATAGCTCCACACCTTAGAGGACACAGACCTCTCTCCCGCAGGCCAGGAGCTCCCCAGAAGGGTTCCACATGTGATTTAGGCTGAAAAACGCAAGGGACAGTGGATATCCAGGGCATAAAGAAGATGGGACTCAGGTAAGGAGGGGGTAGGCTTCCTGGAGGAGGCTGGGTGGCATTTGGAAGCCCACAAGAGAAGAGAACAGGTTTTGCCAGGCTGATATGGAACTGGAAGACAACAGTGCTCCCCACACTCTGTCCACTGCCAGCTACACACTGGGGATTCCATTTTGGTTAGGCAGGCAAGGGAGTATGTGGCCCAAGTTAATGGTTCCTAATCCTGCCTAGCATCCTGAGCACCTGGGGAGCTTATAAAGCTGTGCACAGACAGCTCTACTCCAATCAATTGCCCTTGGATGGGGTCTAGATATCTGCAATTAGAAGATTCCCAGAGGGTTGCTATGCTGGGCCATGATCCAGAGACCCCTCCCTACTGCACAATTTGGCTCTCTTTAGCCTGTCTCCTTTTCTGGAGAGGCTCTTTGGGGTTCAAAGACCTCAATCAATGGAGACACATTTGATGGACTCTCCCTGGCTTTCAGTGCCCCCATGGACCAGTTCAGCTCAGGCCATGGGAGGTGAGTTCTGGATCATAGTACCTCTGGGTCCCAGGGCTCAGCCACTTCCTATGCCAACCTCTCTCCATCTAATGGTGGATGGCTCTCACCATCTCCTCTGCACGGGTTTCTTTATTCCTTGACTCCTGTCTCTTCAACCTGGAAAGAACCAGAGGCTGCCAGCTTTTGGAAGCATCATGATGTTTTGGCTTTATCTGCTGCTGCACTGCAGTTCTCCTGCAATTTCCTCACTCAATCAGGGAATCCAATTGGCCCAACTCAAAGGTCCATGATAGCCCGTAGATTGGTGCCACAGGTAGCAGATGGGAGGGGAAACATACAAAACATGTTGTCAGTGGGCCAGGGGTGGGGCAGGCAGGTGGTGGCCATGATCAATAGAGATCTCTGTTGAGGCAGAATCTTCTAAGAAGCTGAAACCTGGCAGAGGCATCTCCATCAGGGAAAGCTGGCCGGGTAGTCATGTGCAGGCAGGGAAACAGAACTAGAAAACTTGGAGATTCATGTGCTAGAGTCCTCATTTCCATTTCAAGCATGAAGTCAGAGACTCTATGTGGGTGCAGAGGGGCTCTTGGGCCTTCTCACAGCCATAGATATGGTTCCTTCTTTGTGCATCCCAGAGTTTAGGGTGCTGGGAGAGTAATGGCAGGTTTGGAGATTACTTAGCTCTCTTGGTCTTCTTGTTTTAAGGAATTTTCCTGACAGAGTTTCCTGATCTGAGCACCGCTGTAAAGCTTCAGGGGCTTAGGAATCTTTTGACATTAATAAGTGTTGTGCTGTATGAACTTTTCTGGGGAGAGGGGTCCATGCCTCTATTAGCTTCTTCCAGGGGCCCCTGGCCCCAGGCATGTGACAAGGCTCTGCTTCCTGGAACATTTGAGTTGCACTAGTTTCTTGTGTCCTCAACCACAGTGAGATCTGTGGAGCAAATGGCCTTGCTTGGTTTCATCAAAGGAATGCGGAGGTGTCTTCAGAGTCTTTGTCCTCCCTGGTCACTTTCCTGGTGGCTGCTGTTGCCATAGGCAAGTTCTGGGGGAGGTTGCCATCAGAAAAGGGTATGCAAGACAAGTGCACAGGGCTGTGTTTTATGCATGTGCCAAGAGAAGAGTCTCTTGTCTTTGCCTCTTTTGGTGTTGGCACTTGGCTTAGAAGAGCACAGAAACTTGGGCCCGGAAGTGTTTCTGCCTTCCTCTTCCTGGGCTTCCACAAGAGTGCCCCTGGGGTCAGGGGAGCTGCGAGAGCCTCTTTGGAGTGTGTGACTGCAGGGTAAAGAACCTCCTTTAGTTTCGTGGCCCTTGGAGGCAGGGGCTGTGGAATGACTCAAGCTGGCATAGGCTTATATCCAGAATATTCCCCTTGTGGCTTCCTGCCTAGGTCAAGGCCAAGCTTCCTGGGCTTTAAGGGGCTCTCTTAAGAGATCAGACCCAGCAGTGAATGCCTGCTTCACCCTCTCTGGAGCAGCTGTCATACAAGGTATTAGTTATGTGCCAAAAAGGTTCTGACGGAGACACGCCAATGGCCTTGGTTGGAATGCCGGAAAACATTCATCCCGGTGGTGGCTGTGGTGCTGACAGTGGGTACCGTCACCCTCCTGCAGTCTGGGCTTCATGTGGACATGTGTGCACTATTTATGTGGCTAATAGGCTTCCTTACTGAGGGCAACGTTTACATGCCATAAAAAGTCCATTAGCTGAATTTAAGCTTCTCCAGAGATCATGGGGCCTAATCTGTACTTGGCATTTGACGTGGAGGGAATTGAAAATCCCAAGGACCCTTTCTGCTGGTCTGTTGCTGGGATCGAAGAGAGAACTTCGCTGAAGGCACGAATAGGTGAATGGATGTATTAGGTGAGCGGGTGAGAGGACAATGTCATTGGGGCCAACTGCTTGTCTCACAAGGCTGTGAATAGAAGTGAGGCTATTTTTGGATAGGTATTCAGTAAACAGCCTTTTATTTTTAATGCCAAGTGGCACAAAGTTAGCCATGGTAACAAGACAGTTTTGTTATTTTTGAAGATAAAAGTGTTTTAAAATGCCATTCCCTGTTTTTAAATCAATGGTTTGAAAACTTTTTTGTTCTTACTCTTCAGCTAAAGACTTCACCAGGCTGAGAAGCAGTACCAGTTGACCTTTTCCCGCTTGCACATCCTAAGCCTGAGTTTAAGATTGTCTCTGCACTCAGGCAGCGTCCTTTGGCCCATCTGAAAGTGGGCCAGTTCTGCTGGCTCCTCTCCTTTCTGGGAAGGTCACGCAAGTCCCTGAGCCAAGATGAACAGAAGGTTTGTCTGAGTCAATATCTCTACTGCATGCCTGGGCCCAGCAGAGCTTATGTTGGGTCGGTAGTGCAACCTTCAAGGCCTGAATTGAGGACCCCCTGGTCCAGCAAACAGCACAGCCTGAGATGCTGGGGGGCCATGAAATGACACCCTAGAGTATGAGATGCAGAGAAGTGCTATGGGAAAACAGACCCGCGCACACACACACACACACACACACACACAGACACTTTAGAACCGGTGGGTCCTGAGCTTGAATCCTGGCTCTGCCACTCAGTAGCTGCATGAGCCTGGTCAAGTGCCATGACTCTCCTGAACCTCAATATGCTCACCTGTCAGATGGGGATGATGATATGCATACTGCCTGGGTGGCTCTGAGTGCTTCATGACAATAATGAGTGTTAAGTGCCATGTAAAGCACAGATACTTGAGAGCAAGATCCTAACAGTCTGACTTTGGATCTTGCACTACCACTCACATGACCCTGAAGCTCAGAGAGATCGAGTGACTTGCTTGGTTTTCTGTGTACATGAGTACGCCTTCCCTTCCCTCCTAGTCACATCCCACATCACAGGTGGTAGATGAGCCTATCAGTGGTAATGATGGATCCTGTGGTCAGTCTTGTCCTCTTGCCAGCCGGGCCAGAGGGAACACCCCACGGGCGTGGGTGCTGACCAGCCCTGTCTGCACACTGGGGCTGTAATGATTTCAAGACTGTCCCCCTCACCTCAGGTTTGAGGAATTTGGAGCAGAAGGGATGTGGGGAGCACTCCCTTGCCGCGGCAGTCCCAGGAGTCCGCCCCAGCCTCCTGATCACTAGCAGGCCTCAAGACTAGCCAGGCTGTGGAGCTCAGCCTGACCCTGACCTTGGACCCTGAACTCCACTGGTGCCCTGTGTCATGCACAGCCTCGTCAGAGCCGGCTCCCTGGGCTGAGGGGCTGCTCTGTGCTCCTCTGAGTCCCTGGCCGAGCGCACCGAATTATGTAATGCTGCTGAGCCAACATTTATGCGTCGCAGCCAATTTGCCGGCCTAGAGTTACACTGTGCAGATGCTCTGCCTTACGGCTTGCTTTTGTCTCGGAGGCCGTAAGCAGATAGCATAACCCCGCTTACCATTAGACGTTTCGCAAATCATCTAGGCTCGAGCGTGCTGCAGCCAGACAGTTCATTTATGCTGCGAAGGGTATGATTTGTAAAGTAATAAATTTCCCATCTTTCTGCCAGCAATAAAGTACAGCAAGCAGGCGAGGCCAAAGCCCTCCAAAAATATACTGGCTCCCAGCGAGACCTGGAAGAGAGCTCTTTCTGGTTCTGCTTCTCTCTGTTCCTGAATTCGTTGAATTCTGGGAAGTCAGGTTTGGGCCATAAATCCCCCTACCATCTGGGTGACCCTGGGACCCAGCACAGATGTGTTACTAGCATGGGTAATTGGCCCCTACCATGACACAGTTATCACTTCTGGGTCTCTCTCGGTTCTGGCATTAGAAGAAGGCCTTGCTGGACATCATTCAGATTGGGATGGAAGGTTGTTGACTGTCTCACCCTTATTTGTGGCTATGTGTCTGTGCTTGGGACCCAGGCAAGGCTCTTTCTCCTGTGAAGTTAGCGGCCTACAGTGATGGGTGTGTGTGTGCTGGTGGGAGCTCCTCTTGGTCTCCTGTGATGGCTGCAAGGGCAAGTATTTGGTCAGCCCAAAGGGTTCTCTGTTGTGAAGGTGGCTGCTCTGAGCAGAAGGTCAAGGACAGGCACAGAATGAGCCTTAGGAGTCTGGGTCCCAATTTCCTTGGAGGAGGCTCAGTGGATGGTGGACACTTGTCACCAGCAGATGCTTCCTTAGAAGCAGGAGTTGTCAAGGAGCCCCTGGAGTTTCAGCCCAAAGTGGCAGCTCTGGTCTGGGACCCTGATGGGCAAACAGGTGGCTTGGAGTCCCCAGTTTTCACCAGGCCTTTGTTCTTGCCCCCTTCTTCTGTTTAGAGGGGCCGCGCTCTGTCTCTGACCTCTGTCGCAGATGATGGTGAGGCCTCGCGCAGCTCCCACTCTCTGCTGGTGGGAGCTATCACTGTTTCCTCTGTGGGAAAGATGGGCCTGAAAATGACAAAAAGCCTCACATTTAGCTCTGACAGTTTCCTCTGGCCCTCACCTTCTCAATTTTCATATTTTCTCTCTTTTTTTCCTCTTCCTTCTCCTTCTCTTCCACATCTGCCTCCACTTCTTCCACCTTTGATATTTGCTAAAATTTTGTCCCGTTTAAAAATTACATAATGTTTAAGGACTAGATAAAAGTAGGAAAAGGAAGTTAAAGTGAAATGGCTCAAACACAGTCACTGTGACTGTTGTGTTCTATTATTTCTAGGCTGAGGTTTTCCAACTGAGCTGTGGGGGCCCCAGGAAGGGACATCCCCCTTCACTTACGGCAGCCCTGCCATCACCTGTGGACACAGAGTCTCTTCTAGAATTCTTTGTCCTAAGTGGGGTGGGTAGATAGAGACTCCTTCCTACTGTCGCGAGGACAGTCTGCTTTTTATAAAGTTGTTCCCAGCATCAGAGGCCAGCTCCAGTGGTGGGAAGGAAGGAAGGCAGAGCCCTAGGAATGCCCCTGCCCTGACTTAGCTCCCACAGCCTCTTTGATTCTGCTGTCTACACCCCAGCTCCTCCACCAAACAGTCTCACCCAGGTCTTGGCTCAGGCCCCTCACTCAGCTCCAGCATTCGCTGTGTGTTGATCTCAGTTCGCTGGGGGGTGTGGGGGAGTTATTAGTTACTGTCTGATAGGATTGTGAGGATTAAAGGAGATGATCTGGCAGGCAGAAGGTTTTAGCAAATGTTGGCCAACAATGCAGGTTCAATGTATGCATTGGGCACAGGGCCACCTTGTTGCTCAATCCAAAGGTGCCTATACATGTCAGTGTATGTGACCTTCCCTGACCCTATTGGGCAGTGCACAGCCTTTGTCCTGTATGTGGTAGTCCTGTAGGTGATGTTTCCAGGCCTGGGACTAGAAAATGAGGGTCCAGGAGAGAAGTTTTTTTTGGAGAGGTAGGGGAGTCCAGTGTGGGGGTTAAAGTGGAAGACTCAATTCTTTTGCTCTGCAAGGGAGAGCAAGGTTGGCAGGGTAGGGTGACTTAGGCCACAGGGAGGAAGCTGCTTATTACAGTCTTTAGCTCTTTGGAGAAAGATGAGGACCAGAAGCTGAAAGTGTGGTCAGGACCTGTTGGCCAAAAGACCGGAGGAGAAAGGCTGCAGAGAAAGAAAAGTTGCCGTGGGTTACCAGGAAGGAAAACCTGAAACTGGTGCTGAGGCTCTAGGGAGCAGTTGTCCCAGGAAGGAGACCCTGGACCAAACTGCCCCTTCCTGCCATAACTGCAGGGGTGTCCGGAGTTCAGGTCTGGGTGCAAAGGTGAGGGTAGGTGGGGACTAGCAGAGGATTCCCTGAACTCTGTAGGACATCACGGGTCATTCTCTCTCCAGTGAAAGGGCAAATGCTTGTTGAGCAGGTGCAATGCATTAGGGACTATGTGAGGGACTTGATGTGTATTAGCTCTTGTAATCCTTAGGACAGCCCTGTAAGCAGGCATTAGAATGGGGAAACTGAGACTCAGAGATGTTACATGACTTGCCCAAGTTTTCCTAGCTAGGAAGGAAATAGAAATAGGATTCCAACTACTTCAAACACTTCCCTCTAGACTGTAAGCAACATGGGGGCAGAGAATGGCTAGTCCTGCTCTCTGCTGGCTCCTCTGGTGTGTTTGTCAAGGTGCCTGGCACACAGCAGGACTGCGCAAGTGTGTGGTTGAGCCCAGGTCTACATGTTTCTGAGCCCATGCAAGGTCTTTGACGGTTCCCCTGAGCTCTTCCTTCTGCCTTGTGGCAGCCCCCTCGCCTTCCCTGGGAAGTACTGCTTGTTGGTTGGGGGAGGTCTCGGGTTGACAACACCCTGCCGCCAGCTCACTAGCCCCTTTAGGCCCCGAAGAAACTATTGAGTAATGCATTTTGCTTGGGTTTTGATGATTCGTGATTCATGCTTGTGAGGAAGGCAAGGGAGTGACTCATGCTGATTTAATAAGCCTAGGAATATTCCTGAGAAGTAGCTGATAAAGTGCCGGCTGGCAGCCCACTCCCCCGTGGCTGCCAGCGCCAAGTGCTCAGAAATCACCAGGTTAAACAAGTCTGCAGAAAATTCAATCTTCCTGGCATGATTTTCCTTATTTGAGCTAATAGTATGAGGCGCCTTTCTCCTGGCGCTGGGAAGTACACCGGCCTTGCCGTCTTCCCTGGGAGCATGGGGGAGAAGGAGAGCAAATGCCTTACATTTAGCAGATGCACTAGGAACTGCTAGGAACTCCCAAGGTTTACCTTGTGCCCTTGGAACCAGCAGCTCCGCCCCAAGGGAAGCCAGCCCTGTGTCCTAGTGCCGGAATGATGGGGTAATGCGAGCCAGCCGCCCCTTCTCCACAGGGTACTGAGAACGAGGCCAGACAGCAGCTGTCCTGGCCTCTGGGCTGGCCGTGTCAGGACAAACACACCTGGGTTGGGTCCACTGGGGTCAGGTTACTCACGACAAACAGGGGCAGGTGGAGTGTGGTGGCCAGAGGAGCAGGCCAAGGTAGCAGGAGATGGGTCATTTCAAATGGCTCACCAGCAGCCCGGGGGATCCCTGACATCCAGCAGGTATTGACATTGGGATTAACCCCGTGGGTGGATGGTTCCATGCTGGTTCCTCATGTGCCTCTGTGTCACAGTGCTCAGGCAAGAGGGCTGGAGAAAAAAATCAGGGGTGCACCCAGCTTGGTCAGTATCTGTGCAGGGATCCTGTTATGGTTGGCAGTCCCTTGCTTTGAAGCTCTGATTCCTTTCAGAAGCTCCTGAAGTTCACAGGAGCAGGTGGGGGTGGATAGGTCACTGGGAAAGGGCAGACTCTGTTCAAAGATAAGATACTTCCTAAATCTGGTCTCCTCTCTAAGTTCTTTGGTGTCCCCCCGCCCCCATATGTTGAGCCCCTTGTG